AACTATTGCTGAGAATCATTCTAGTTCGGTCAGATTTATATTATAGATTTCTCAAGTTTTGCATATTTCCAATGTGCTTACCAGAAACAGAAGTGTATTCGAATACAACTCAAACTTGTAATCAAGTAAACATAACAAAGTTTGAGAAAAATTGATATGATTTTTCAATGTCTTGTAATAAGACTGTACAAAGAAGATACTAGAAGGATTCATTTCTACGAACGACAACGGCCGCGGTTCGATAGTAATGTTGTAGAACAATTTTCCTATATAAGAGTCTAGTCAAGATAATAAAAATATATAATTAAATAGTCATTTAAAAGAGAGCATCATGCAGCTGAATTAGTTGAGATAAAAAAAGCACATAATTGATATAAAAATGTTTAAGAGAAAAGTTTATTTGTTTTTGGTTTTGATTTTGTTTTCAAAAATATGGATTAAGCAACCATCGGAGCCGTTGCCACGATACCTTCCTTGTTGACATGAACACGTACTCGATTCGTACGATAATCCAGTGTTACCGGTGTTCCTTCTTTAATTATTTCTACATTTTTAAAGCCTATTTTAAATCAAACAAAGAAAATTTTCAGATATTAGTCAATATGAAAGTATTACCTGTTTCTTTTTTAATAATTTGAACAGCTTCTTCGCCCTTTTTACCAACTAATTCAGGCCATAGACTTTTACCAGATGTTTTTGACTTTGTTTCTAAAAGTATCATTGAAAATTTCACAAAAAAACTTTTTCTTTTTCTTTTTTACTTTTAACAAGGATAACAGGTACTTCAATTGGTTTTTTACGGCTAACACTAAGCGGTGTTACTAGAATTTGAACATCATTGGTGTATAGTAATTCGCCCTTTTTATTTTTAATACTGGCATCTAACGAGTATGTGTGTCCAGGAATGATTTGACTTGACGAATATTTCATTCCGAATGCTACTGGAAATTTAGTAACTTTACTGGTTCCACGTGCAATAAATTTAGCTGGTGCATCCATAAGTGATGTATCTTGTAATTCTACTGTTAATTTCCCATCTGGTTCAACAGGTGTAGATGAACCTCCAGGAAATGTAACACGGCCAGTTAAAATAATATTTTGATTATCTTTGGAAAGCTTCGCTCCATCTAAAGAAAAAGATAAATATTGAAATAGCAGAAAAGAAATAAACGGGTTGTATTGAATGCAATTACCATTGAAAGAAATAAAGTAAATAATACTAATGACGAGATATAATTTATTCATGATTCAATCTAAAAAAAATTATTTGTTTGGAAAGTACAAGATTATTTGTGTATATAAATATCCGGAAAAAACGAGGATAATATCTATACTACAGATACGATATATATATATGTACATATATATATAGAATATAATCATGTAGTTCGTTGACAGCAACAAAATGAAACTATTTTGTTCCTTGCAGATAACCATGATCTATTACCGAAAGAGTTAGAAATAACCACTTGCAGAAAGAATAAGTCTCAAAATAATATTCATCGCGCAATGATAGCACGCAATACAGTGTACTATTTTTGTAGACTGTTTTCTTTCTCCACCGTGCGTATTCAGTCAACCTAGCAATTTTTTGTTTATATTTGTTCTTAAACGACATAGATTTGTCTTTTTTATGATATTTTATCAAAGATACGAGGAAACACTTTCTGTAAAGTTTTCCTATGAATGGATGATATCCAAATATGATTTTGTCATTATAGAAAGTAACAGATTAGCAAACAACTTACCATATTCTACCTATCATACAAGTAATCAAATAATGAAAATAGAACACAATTTTTACTCAAGTACAGCTTTAAATTCTTACTGATTCTAATGGCAAAATTAATTAAATGGGTGTAGAAAAATCTTTCACACGCCGACACTCATCACGATGCACTCACGACTGCATTGCAATATTTTGGCATTATTCACAGATGTTTTCGATTCAGCTATATTTTTTTAACGGCCATTCTCGAAGTAGTGAGTATTCCTGTGGGTACGGTTGTGGATGTGGGGTAGTGTTGAATTGTCACACAATTTAAAAGCTTCGAAATTCATGGAAGATCAAGCAAATAAAACGATAGTTGCGAAATCTATATTAAAATAGATCTTTACGGTGATCTACTAGTCTCTTCGGTTATTCTTTCGTGACTTTGTATTTGCTTCCGAAATATTTCGCCTCATACGGTCCATTACTAGAAGTACAGTCGTTAAGGTCAAGTTATGTAGACAACCACGATGAGGCAGTGTTACTTGGTGGTGCTGGCCGCATGTCTAAAAGGAACGCAAGGTAGCAACAGATTGCCTAAGTGGCTCGAGAACATCG